TCCAGCGTGATCCAGCGCAGCATCATGTTGTAGATGGCGCCGGCCCCCTGTGTGGTCACCGTGTCACAGTTGATGTCGTGCAGATAGGACATGGCCCCCTTGGGTGCCCTCTCGATGTGCTTCCCGCCGCCCGGACCGCCAAACGGGCCCAGTGTGCGCCCTGAGCTGGTGACAAAGCCCAGCCGGTCGATGAGGTAGCCGCTGCCCACGATCACCTTGACGATGTACTCGCGCGGCTGCAACACCATGTGGTGGCGCTCCCAGCGGTCGTACATGCTGCCCCGCCTGTACTCAAGGTCGCCTCGGCTGTCGTCCAGCGGCTTGCGGTACTTCACGGCCAGCCCACCAATCACAGGCCGGCCGTCCCAGCGGCGGATCCACACGTCGATCTGGCTGATCTCCAAGTTGGGGTCGTTGTAGAGGTACTGCGGCGGGTTGCTGCAGCGCGCGACCTGACCCCCGGCCGCGTACCGAGTGGACCCCGCACTGATGGAGAACGCTGCCAGTCTTCTGGGGTGGAGCCACGGCACGGGGATCCCCTCTACGTCTTGCCCGATAGGCTCCGTCAGCGAGTAGTCTTGTTTCTGGTCGTGAATGTAGCGAGTCGCCACTTCCCACATCTTCATGTAGCGCTTCAGAATCTCATTCTTTTCGATATTCTTGAATTTTTTCGCACATATTTTCATGGTTTCCTTGGAGAGCACCGGAAGTCTGACGGTCTGTATCAGGCGCTCAAACACAGCAGGGTCGGGCGCAGGAATCTGAGACAAAAACCTCAGCACAGCTTTAAACACCAACTCCTCGCGATCCACAGATTTGAGAACCACTCCTCCATACAGCACCAAATCGTCCTTGTCGAAAAAAGACGCGAGAAAATCCGGGTCCATCTCGAGAAACCCTGGCGTCTTTGACACAGTATCTAGGTCGTTGCACAAGAACCCCTCCGCTCCATTCTGCAGGTGAGGCAGAGAGTAGTTGACGGCAAATCTGAGCGCATCGCAGACGTTGTCGCAGTCCAGATTCTGGGCCATGAAGAGCTCGCAGGCTTCCCTCACAAAGCCGATGCTGAGGTAGTCGGCAGCCATCAGAATCCCCTGGACGTTGTCATTGGTCAGAGAGATCTCTCCCGTGTAGGCGAACCGGAGCAGCACGGCAAAGTCCTGGGCCGATACCTCGTGCAGCGTCACCTCCCCGCTGTTTGTCTGGTCCAGCTGGTAGGGTAAGGTAAGATAAGGTAAGATAATAATAATAATAATAATAGATAGCATTTGTATAGCGCATGTCCCCGCTCAACAGCAGGCTCTATGCGCTTTACACTATATTATTACCCCAGCAGACCATACAACACTCCGAAACATTCTCAGCTTCCCGGGAAGCATACAGTGCAAGCAGCCGATAAAGCGCTCAAACACTAACAAACTGACAAGATCTTTCGCTGTCTATAGCCGGGTACCCATTCCCACCTGGGTGGAGTGAGGAAAATTCGTGTAAAGTGCCTTTCCCAAGGACACAACGTCGGGCCCTTGACGGGATTCGAACCCACGACCTTACGGTTGCGAGTCCGAGAGCCTAACCACTAGGCCACCGACGCCAATCCCAGAGGGAAGTTTTTCTTGGCTGTACAGGACGGTAAAAACACATGCAGGTATACACAGATGTTTAAATTATCTATTTCTCTCATTACATTTCAATATAAAAAGAGAAGCAAAGCTGACAAAATGTACATACCACATCAGATGCATCATTCAACCACATGCAGGAATTTTATTACAAATAACCTGTAGAGTTATATAGACACATACTCTAAGAGCAATACACATCTATGCTCATTCTGACAAAAGCCTTTATGCTAAATGATAAAAAAACTTCTTTTCTTTCTTTCTTTCTTTGTTTTTAGAGGTATATATCTGCCTCTGTGTGATCTGACAATTTGCGCGGAAAGGGGGTGGGATGTGTCGTTTATAATGCTTTGTATCTGTTTTATACTTGTGGTGTTATATATTTCATCAATTCTAGTCAAACCAGGTGGGGGAGGAAGAAGAAACATCCATCATTTTATTTTTCAGTTAGCGTTTTACGGCACTTGCATCACAATAAGGTCATTTTAGTGCCGAAGATTAGAGGTGTTACAAGAGAGTAACATACACAAAAAAGAAGGAAGAGAGATCAGGACGATAGATGTTTGATAGGAAAGAAGGAGCAAACCACACCAGAGCACCCGCCAACCACCCACTAAACATTGATGAAACCTCCAGTGTAAGACACAGCATGGATTAACCACACCACAGAACACGCTCTGTGTTCATGCCAAAAGTCCACAATAACCCAATATCCATAAATCATTTCTAAAATTTCATTACACACATCATCACTTTTAATATAAATTGCTCACTCTTTGTGATGAACTGGTTTCACTGTTATTAAAACTAGAGATAGGACCAGAAAGCACTGGGGTCGCCATTGGGTGACCGTCCCGGACAATTTCGATTGTACGTAATATCAACAGTTGTTTACCTTGAACAAGGGAGGGAAGAAGTCGGACAAAGAAGCGAGGACCAGCCGATGCGTGTCAAAGCGCGTCTCGTCCACGACCACCGTGACATCCGTGTACAGCCTGTCCTTGAAGCACAGGCCAGCAGACCGCAGCAGTTGGTTGGACCGCTGAAGACGTGACACAGTTTCAAATCTATCATGAACCCCCTCAGTGCCACAAAATCTTTAACCTCCACCGCAAAGCAATAGAGATTTTTGTCGAGCTCAATTAACATCGTCATCCAAGGTAACTAGTAACAGTCGTAAACCAATTTTTTATTTTTTAGCTTAACGTCTTGTCCACAAAAAAATCAACACATTTCCACGTGAATTTTACTGAAAAACATTGATTAAAGGTACAAAATATGTCATTTTTCTGTTTTTAAAGGCTCTTTGACTATTGGCGTTACCAAACTTTGGCGGCCATTTTTTCGCTGATTTCACAACTGAAACCAGGCGGCAAATATCTTGATTTCTATTCAAGATAGATGGATATTTATTTCATTGGAAGCAAGGCAAATAAATCAGCTTTCAGATGATAATAATGACTCCACATGCCCAGAAATTGAGGAACAAAATGATTCCAGCACACCGTGACACACACACATTATCTCCCTCACACCACACATACGCTATTGTTCGACGACACTAGTAAGGGTTTCAAGAAAGAAAACTTGCACAAGACATAGACTCTGCTGGACAATACCTTTGGGTCTGAGTACTGACGTAGACTCTGCTGGACAATACCTTTGGGTCTGAGTACTGACGTAGACTCTGCTGGACAATACCTTTGGGTCTGAGTACTGACGTAGACTCTGCTGGACAATACCTTTGGGTCTGAGTACTGGCATAGACTATGTTAAACAATACCTTTGAGTCTGAGTACTGACATAGACTCTGCTGGACAATACCTTTGGGTTTGAGTACTGACATAGACTCTGCTGGACAATACCTTTGGGACTGAGTACTGGCATAGACTATGTTAAACAATACCTTTGAGTCTGAGTACTGACATAGACTATGTTAAACAATACCTTTGGGTCTGAGTACTGACATAGACTCTGCTGGACAATACCTTTGGGTCTGAGTACTGACATAGACTCTGCTGGACAATACCTTTGGGTCTGAGTACTGGCATAGACTATGTTAGACAATACCTTTGGGTCTGAGTACTGACATAGACTCTGCTGGACAATACCTTTGGGTCTGAGTAGACTCCCGGTCCGTCTGCCTGCACAGGAGCAGAAGAAGAAGAAGAAGCAGGCGCGTCGCTACTGGCAGCTGACGCATCGCCTTCCCCGGGCGTTTTGCTGGCCATGGCACCCACCTTGACTCAACGAGAGGAGCCCTTCAGCTCACTGCAGGCAAACACAATTAAACAAACACAGTCAAACAAACACAGCCAAACAAACACAGTCAAACAAACACAGCCAAACAAACACAGTCAAACAAACACAGTCAAACAAACACAGTCAAACAAACACAGTCAAACAAACACAATCAAACAAACACAATCGAATAAACACAAACAATCAAACAAACACAATCGAACAAACACAATCAATCAAACAAACACAATCGAACAAACACAAACAATCAAACAAACATAGTCAAACAAACACAATCAAACAAACAAACAAACACAATCAAACAAACAAACAAACACAATCAAACAAACAAACAAACACAATCAACAAACACAGTCAAACAAATAAACAAACACAGTCAAACAAACAAACAAACAGGCACAGTCAAACAAACCAATCACACTGAACTGACTCATACATAACACCCTCGATTAAAAAAACAATTTGGAAATAGCATAATAAAAAAGAAGAAGAAAAAGAAGAGGAGGAGGAGGAGGAGGAGGAAGAAAAGGGAGTGGAGGAGGAGAAAAAGGGGGTGGAGGAGGAGAAAAAGAAGAAGAAGAAAAGAAGACACATGAAGCAGACTTACAAAGAATAGAATACTGGATGCGTGGAGATTACGAAAAGCTACATGACCCCTCAGGTAAATCAACTCTTTGTCTCCGAGGGGGTAAACACACTATACCGGGGCCCTCTTTTGGTACAAAATCTAAAAGTGACATACGTCACTAAATTAGTCTTTATATCAAAACAAGTGAACCTATTTTGATAGAAGTTCTTCATCTAATGAATTAACAACCGATAAAAAAGACCTGTTTTTAGCAATAGCCAAAAAGTAATTTGACTTGGAAGTCGTTGTAAAAGAATGTGCCCAAGCCGCTGCCAGCGGCTCACAGGTACAGCAGTTCCTACCGTGTTCCTACCGTGAGCTGCTGAGAGCGGCTTGCCGGAGATTTAAAGTCCATACTAAAAAAGCAGGAGAAAAAACTCCAAGTCTTCTACTGTTTCCCCGGCCCAAGCTGGTTTATTCTTGATGATAAAGAGAATTCTTCCATTGTTGGAACGAATGAATCATATTTCCACTTATTTTTTTAACATAGTGTCTTCTTCTCATCTATCTTTATATGATGAGTAGGAAGGAGAACTTTCTTTTCAGGCACCTAGCCTCAGTGTCTACGTACACGGTAACCAGCAACCGGGCACGTAGTCTCAGTGTCTTCGTACACAGTAACCAGGCATGTAGCTTCAATATCTACATACACGGTAACCGGCAACCGGGAATGTAGTCTCAGAGTCACGTACACGGTAACCGGGCATGTAGCCTCAATATCTACATACACAGTAACCTGCAACCAGGCATGTAGTCTCAGTGTCACATACACGGTAACCGGGCACGTAGTCTCAGTGTCACGTACACGGTAACCGGGCAGTTCGTTCAGAACTCCAAGTTTAGTTTTTGTCGTCCGGTGTTGCCTTCATCCCCACCCCTCCCCCGACTGTACCTTTTAAAAAAATCAATAATCCCCCCATTCCCAAGCCCTATACTTTGCAGCGCACAGACTTTGAACTTTGGTGACCCCAACCGGTACTCAATGTGATGCAAAAGCACAGGTTCACTGACTGGTCACGATGGTGAGCCCGACAAGACGCTTTTGTATGGCTTTCTTTTTTTTCAGCAAGTGACAGCACAGGGCAAATATTGATTTATTTTCATTCCGGTTATCGTGTACGTAGATACTGAGGCGCTTTTTCGGTAGTTCCCACCCCGCAATTGTTATTCACCGGTTTTGGCCCCAAGCTTGCCTCCCTGACCTAATAAAAATATGGTGGGGGGTTTTGCCCCTCTGATTTTACAATAATTTGATGTTTTGCAGTTGTTAGCTTTGATATCTTAGCTCGCCACGCATCAAATGCATAGAGATCTAGAAATCTAGATATAGATGTAGATCTAGGCTCAAGTAAGGGGGTGGGAATTACCGAAACGAAGTGATTATTCGGACTCGAGTCCGAATATGAAAAAATGTTATTCGGACTCTGATTCTTGTTCAGCATGACATCACTTCCGACTTCCTGTGACTCGTGACTCCGGCTTCCTGTCCTGCCTCACTCGTGACTCGCCTCAGGCTGGGTAGAGACCGGGATCACTTCGGGCAAAAAGGCGTTTTGTGCAGGAGCTGAGTTTTAATCTTATGATGAATTTGAGGCCGGCCTGAAAAGTTATAGCGCTTCTAATAAATGTTTATTTGTCAAAAGGTCATCAGAAGCAATTAAAGATGGCTCGTTAGCGTGTGTCGGGGTCGGATGGGCGGCCTGCACACGTGTGGCTGTGTGCGTGTCGGGGAGGGTGGTGGGGGGCACTATCGGTCCGGGCTTTGAACGTCGCATAAGCGTCGGTCTTTTTCCCCCTGGCAACTTATCATTATTACAATAATAAGCTAGTCTTGACGTAGATCTACGTAATGAATACGTAATGAATTGTGCGCTGGTCTATGGAATCAAAAGTTGCCGTATGCTCAGCTCTACACAGCAACACAACTTTTTCTTGGTAAACAATCGATATGACACAGGCTTGTGTATTTGAACGAATCGGTCTTTTTTTTTTTTTTACACAGCTCATAATATGCAGATGCCAGGTGGTCTGCTAATCTTCAATTTTACCTTTTTCTACAACAAAGAAAGTGGGAAACGTGGGGGGGGGGGGGGGGCGTATCAATGAGGCGGCGGGCATTGGATCGGCAGATAAGGTGTGGGGGAAACTAAAAAATGGCGGAAAATTGGAAGCACTGAACGTTAGATCTATAGAACGAAGACACTTCCTTTTTTCCGGACCCGAGTCCAAATAACGACGGCCTTACCGAAAATGCACCGATACTGAGATTAGGTGCCCGGTTACCATGTACATACTGAGTCTACGAGAGACTAGGTGCCCGGTAACCATGTACGTAGAGACTGAGACCAGGAGCCCGGTTATCGTGTACATACGGAGTCTAGGAGAGACTAGGTGCCCGGTAACCATGTACGTAGAGCCTACTGAGACCAGGAGCCCGGTTATCGTGTACACGTAGAGACTGAGACCAGGAGCCCGGTTATCGTGTACGTAGAGACTGAGACCAGGAGCCCGGTTATCGTGTACGTTGAGACTGAGACCAGGAGCCCGGTTATCGTGTACGTAGACACTCCGGTTGTTTTCCTTGTGGTTTTTTTGTTTTTTTGAAAGAAACATAAAATTGAGAGACAGACCCTTATTGGCCTTCTGCCTTATGACATTAAAGAGGGATCATAACCAAAACCAACCAAAATGATTAAAATGGCGTCTTGTTGATCGAATGCAACGTTGAAAATTTAAAGGAAAAACTCAAAGAACATCATTCGAAGCCATCGTCATGGAGATAGACAGGTAAGCAGCCATCTTGTACAGTGAATTGTCATGATCTTGGCCTTGGGACTTCTTCAGCGAAAACAAAACGAAAACATTGCCTGGCTATTAAAAACTTCGCGTGTTTACGTTCGTGAGATTTTTCCAACAGAAAAATTTACATCTCAGTTTGATTGTTTTAGATAAAAACAAAACCAGTAAGGATATAGGCCTATATTTTTAAATAAAATAATAATGAGAATCTATCTTAATTATTTTTTAATGAATTAAGTAATGAGGCCCCAATTCTTTTATCGTTTTATACAAATGTTTAACTTTAAGCCATTGCTTTTCTCAAATTACTTTTTATTTTTTAATCTCATTTTTTCGATCTCCAAAATAGAAAACCAGGAACAGTATAGCTAAATGATGGTGAGTGTGATTTATGCAGCTGAGCAGTTTTGTATTACGTTGAGCTTCTGTTTCGCTTTTCCACCCGTTGCCTATTGGTTTCGCTTTTTGCTTTGCACGCCCCCCACCCAAAAAAAAAAATTAATAAATAAATAAAAACACGTTAATCTGTTTCAAGAAAGAGAAGCCTATCCCCTACGCCCTTGGTCCAGATAAAATGGATAGAAGAAAACTGCCTCTAAAGTAAAAGGATCATGATACTAATAATAATATTAATAATAATAATAATAAATGACATTTATATAGCGCTCAACCCCGAATAAAGTACACATGCTCTGAGCGCTTTACAATACAGTACAACATACAACAGTAACATGAAACGTTGTGTTCTGACTAAAGAAAATTATTCAAAATAATATTCATCTTATTAATTTAAAAACAGAAACGACTTCAGCTGACATTTGAATGAATCAAAAGATTTGATTTCTCTCAACGTACTTGGTAAAGCATTCCAGATCTTGGGGCCTTGGTATTCAAATGCCCTTTCACCCATTGTTTTAAGTTTCACAGATGGTAAAATAAATTTCTTTTTGTCAGCTGATGATCTTAAACTGCGAGTTGGAATGTACAATGATACTGATAATGATACGGATAATGGTAACAATAATAAATGTGACCAGACCAGAACCTAAAGACCAGCTGCCATTTCCTGCAGCACTGTACTCGTTTCCCAACCCTCAGGCTAGCACAGACGTGACCGACGTAGCAATCTTCTTCACCACAGGAGAGGAAATGTTATGGCAGCCTAGATCGAGGAACTACAGAGAAGTGAACAGTTTGTGTGCTACCGGCCTGACTGTCTCACTGTCATCAAGAAGGAAGAAGAACCAGAACCAGAACAAGAACAAGAACAAGTCACAGTTTCGATAATGTAGGAGGCTAGCAGCTTTCCCCTGCCTTTCAGGTTAAACCCGGGCTGTGTTAAAAAAAACTCAAAACCTCTCCGGCCTGTCTTGAAAAAACTCAAAACCTCTCCGGGCTGTGTTGTAAAAAACTCAAAACCTCTCGGGGCTGTGTGTAAAAAACTCCCCACTCAGGAATTGAATGTAGATCTAGAAATCTATATCTTCTGCCACTGACAGCAACAAGTCTTAGGCCAAGTTCACACCACCAATTCACCAATCGAATTCATGTGACTGAGGAGATGGGACCAGCTAGATAGGGTTTCATGGATGAGGCAAAAAGCTACTATTTGGGCACAATTGGACCCAATTTGACTAAATCAACTGTGACCTTCGAAATCAAATGCGTTCGTTTTCAAAGTCACGAATCAAATCGGTTGTAACTTGTATTATGTTAAAATAGCTGTTGTTGCCCCTCCACGAACGAAAGTCTAATTTTAGTAAGAGTTTTACGGCACTTGCAACACAATAAGGTCATATAAGTGCCGAAGAATAGATGTGTTACAAGAGAGTAACAAACACAAAAAAGAAGGACGATGGGTGTTTGATAGGAAAGAATGAACAAACCACACCAGAGCACCCGCCAACCACCCACTGAAGTGCTTTGCCTGTATCGTACAAGGGTCTTGCAGTCCATGTCCCCATTCTTCTTGTCCAGGGCAACGGTGGCAGGCCCCATAATGTAACGGCCCTTTCCTCATTGTCAGGCTACCTAAGGTCACAGAAAGAGGTGGTTTTTGTGACAGGAATGTACACCACCAGAAGTACCAAGCAAAGTGGACACAAAGCTTTACAAACTTCTCACTGGGGATTTCAACTACATGTACTTTTCTCTACGGTACTATGGGGAGTCAGGGAGGGAGAGAGGGAGGAAGGGAGGGAGGAAGGGAGGGAGAGGGAGAGAGGGAGGAAGGGAGGGAGAGAAAGAGAGACAGAGAGAGAGAGGAAGAAATAATTTACACTTATGAACTTGTAGTCAACCCATGAACTTAGTCTAGTTTAGTAGAGTTTTTACGGTGCTTGCAACTGCATAAGGTCATATGAGCACCAAGGGGTAAATGTAAATAGACAAGTCATTACAGGTAATCAGACTTACTCTGCTCACCTCTCTAACCTCAACAGAACAAAGTCTGCTTCCACTATCAAAGCACCCGTGGAAATAGAAGGTCACAAGATTGTGACAAACATACAAAAGAAGTAGAGGGAAATGACGACAGTAAGGATTAGGAAAGAAAAAAGCAGCAGTTCCCTGTTGTAGATCAGGCACAGTTATGAGCGTGACATGAATCAGCCCATTTACAATTCTACTGTGCATAAGAACATGTTAATATCCCCCATTTGGGAATGGCCTAAGGGGGGGGGGGGGGGCATTAACATGTTCTTATGCACAGTAGAAAACATGTAAACTTTCTTGCCAGAGATCAATAACATTCATTCATTCATTCATTCATTCATCCATTCATCCATTCATTCAACTAAGCTGATATTACAGCCCTTCACAAAAAAAACAAAAAAACAAGCAATCTCAGAGATTTGATAAATTCATATTTTTTATTTCAAAAACATAACAAAACCAACATTTCCAACTTCTTGAACAAAGAAAAGAGAGGAACTTACACTTGATCCCACTGTGCTGTACAAGAAGTGAATACGGCAAGAGAACACTTTTCTCACAGACATGCACAGAACAATATACAGCAACTGCACCATTATCAATTATGTAACAGTAACAGACTGAACATTCATTTTCCCTTTTTTGGTTTAAACTCTTTCATCTAAAGCGCAATTGTTGAACTTCTTTTTATTTTTACCATCACAATCACCATTCTAAATGATCACAAATTCCAACAAAGTGCTGTCTTCAGCCAACACGCCATATTTATGTTGTTAGTTTTAGTAAGGTTTTACAGCACTCACAACTGCATAAGGTCATATGAGCGCCAAGGGGTGGATGTCAACAGAGAAGTTCAAACGAGGATTCAGGCTTACTCTGCTCACCTCTCTAGCCCCAACAGCACAAAGTCTGCTTCGACTATCAAGGCACCCCGGAAATAGCAGTTCACGAGAGAGTGACAAAATACAAAAAAAGTAGAGGAAAAATGACGATAGTGAGGATGAGGAAAGAAAAAGCAGCAGTTCCCCCTATGTTGTTCCGGCACAGTATGAGCATGACATTGATAAATCAGTCCATTTACAATTCTACTGTGCATAAGAACATGCTAGTATCCCCCCCTTTGGGAATGGCCTAAAGACACTTCAGTCAGTAGCACTGCCCTGGGGGGGGGGGGGGCAGCAACAAGTATCATCAGCCTCTTCCTGCCACAACAACAGTCGTCTCATCATAAAGTGTGGGCTGTCGGTGGGTGCTCCACGCCGTCTGCTTCCTCGTCACCGCAGTTTTTTCATCAGACTGCTCCGAACACTCTCCTCCCTGACTAACCGCACACTCTTGCGAATATCACACATCTGGCGCTGCAGGGCCCCGCCGTCCCCCTCCTCTTTCCCCGTCCCTTCCTCCCATAATTTCCCTTCACCTTCTCCTCCCTTCCTCTCCTCTCCATGTTCTCCTCCCTTCCCCCTCTCTTCACCTTCTCCTCCCTTCCCCCTCTCTTCACCTTCTCCTCTCTTCCCCTCCTCTCCATGTTCTCCTCTCTTCCCCCTCTCTTCACCTTCTCCTCCCTTCCCCCTCTCTTCACCTTCTCCTCCCTTCCCCTCCTCTCCCTCCAACAGCTTCCCTCCATGTCCTCCTCTCTTCTTCCCTGACGACAAATCCTGTACCATGCTCAGTAAGTCCAGAGCACAGACCTGCAAGATGAGGTTGAGTTCAGTTTTAGTAAAAGGAAGAATTAGTTTAGTTATAGTAAGTGTTTTACGGCAGTTGCAACACTATAAGGTCATATAAGTGCCGAAGATTAGATCTGTTGCAAGAGAGTAACAAACACAACACAAAAAAGAAGGAGGAGAGATCAGGATGATAGATGTTTGGAAGGAAAGAAGGCGCAAACCACACCAGAGCACCTGCCAACCACCCACAAAGTAAGAATTTTACAGCACTTGCAACACAAAAAGGTCATAAAGTGGAGGGACATGACTGTCGCCTACTCTCAATCCAGGGTAGGACACTTCACATTTTCACAACCAAGGTAGGACATTTAACATTTTCACAACCAAGGTAGGACACTTCACATTTTCACAACCAAGGTAGGACATTTAACATTTTCACAACCAAGGTAGGACATTTCACATTTTCACAACCAAGGTAGGACACTTCACATTTTCACAACCAAGGTAGGACATTTAACATTTTTACAACCAAGGTAGGACATTTAACGTTTTCACAACCAAGGTAGGACATTTAACATTTTCACAACCAAGGTAGGACACTTCACATTTTCACAACCAAGGTAGGACACTTGACATTTTCACAACCAAGGAAGGACACTTAACATTTTCACAACGTCAAACATTAAAAGCGGCTGCCCCGTGCCATTTTTGGGGCTTTCCTTTACTAACCCGTAAATGTCTTAATAAAACTAAAACTGAACAGCCACTTAAAAGGCATGAAGAATAAGCAGCACGTGTGTCGCCAATCGAATAGCTTTAGCCGTACGTTGTGTTTTACTATCGTATCCATACGACGTGGGGAACTCTGTGCCACCACTTTCCAAAGAGGAAATTTACCCGTAAATCCGATCCATACGCTTTGCATAGTAGTCTGTCAAAATTATTTTTTGAGAAATACTGAAAGTTTCAAAGAGATCTTCGTACTAGAAGTATTCTAAGATGTGAAGAATACAACCCCGGGGGTACAAAATGACCCCAGGGCGTACGGATAGGGTTAAGACGCAGTGCAAAACGCCCCATCTGGTCACCCAGCCAGATGCCAAAGATTAGAAATGTTACAAGAGAGCA